CGTTGTGCACGTCGTTTTCTTTTTTTTCGAAGGATGGTTTTTTCCTAATTATCTGCCTTTCTTGTCTAAACGCCGAAATCGTGAACTGCTCGTCGTGTTTCTCGGGTGCTCTTCGCTCGCTTACAGTCTGAAGATTTTCGTTTTGTTTTGTTTTGGCGAAGGTACCGTTTTCGATCGCTCAGTTGTTTTTATTTTTCCCTTACATTTATTTTTTATTGTCCGCTTTTTCGAAAACATTGTCTTTCAAACAAAAAATAAATCGTAAAAAAAAATTGTAGACGCAAAAACACATTAAACAAAACCAATAAAAAATTGTTAGAAATGAGGATGAAAAAAAAAAAAAGAAGTGTTTTTGAGGTTAAGGAAACGATTTCTGGTTTGTAAACCCGGAAAATCGTCTTCGCGCGGCGATTCTGGCGTGCTTGTTGGGATCAACGTGTCTGCTTTTTCTCTTAGCTTTCATTCTCCATCCACTGTTTTTGCTTTTTCTCCATTTTTTTTTGTTTGTTCGTGACGGCTTGTTGAGTTGCAATCAAGACTGCAGCGTCGTCTGTGCCGGCCCGCTCGGTGGTTACTCAGCGTTCTCCTGACCTCGCCGCCGCGCCCCGCAGAGACCCCAAGTTGAAATGACGCCGGAGCCTCTTTTCGCACTTGGATGTTTTCTGGTTCGTCTAGACGGGGTGCGTGAGTCAGTGCTCCCTTTGTCAGTGCTCCCTGCGGTCCTGTGCTCGGGCAGAGGCCCGTTTTCTCCGCCGGGAAAACCTGATCCTTTCCACCGCTGCCCTCGAACCTGGCCACAAACTAAACTCGTACTTTGCTCGAAACAAGCGAAAAAAAAAAAAAAAAAGATTACGTTAGTCGCATTTGAGGAATTCGTCAAACATTCTTCAAACGGCGACTCGGAAAATTCTAAAAAAAAAAAAAAAAAAGAAAAAAAAAGAAGAAAATGCAAGATTACATTTTGAATGTTTATTGAAAGGCTCGTTACGTCGCTCTGCCCTTCAGATTCGGTGACACCGGTTCACGACGGGGATAGTTCAATGAATACGAGTTACTGGTAGAGCAGGATTTAATTGCGCATATTTTGTATCACTGTGGCCACATGTCGTACTTCTCAAAGTGCACTTGCTTGTGATATTAACGCAACACGTTCATAGTTTACTTTGTTACTCATTATGCCCAGATTTCATAATTATTGAACATATCATATCATAGTTTACCCCATTACTAGCATTGAAATAGCCGGCCCCAAATTATGGGGCTAAAATCTTCATCTCATTAAATAAAGATTGAATTGAGAAAGCGAGCGATCGCGCTAAGCTGGGGTTGCAGCATGTATCGGGCAGTAGTGATCGCGCGACCACAGGCTGGCAATGCCTTTTGAGATCGAAACGGGTGGAGGCAGGAATTGGAATATAAACACACATTGGCTATGAAGAGGCTGTGGGAATTGCGGTGAACCTCTCCCAATCGCCCCCTTACGGCACCAACTAGGCTGATACCGAGGTTCTTTCCGCGTTCATTCTGTACTGGCGTCGTGCCTGCTCTTTGGCTCCGACTCACTAGGTTGGACGTGCCAGATGAGCTCTGTCGGCCGATTCTTTACCGCCGGCAAAAATCAGCTTTTTGCCGCATCTTCCGTCCCTTGTTCGCGGGCATGTTCTCTGCGGGTGAGTCGGTGACGCTCGAGCGCCGAAGAGGTTGCGGGGGGGGGGGGGGGGGGGGGGGGGGGGAATCTGACATGCCACGGTGAACACTGTTTGTGATCCGAGTGCGCACTGCGCCTTCGACTGCCCTTCGACCGGCTCAGGTATATTAAAAAGACCGAAAGTTTCCAGGAAAGCGTTATGGCAGCCAGCGGGCAATGCACTTCCGCAAGAGGGTATACACTGGTGTGCCACCCTGGTTTCGCGAACCTGAATGTGCAATGATGTGGGAATTCGCGTGACTGCCATTCGGTACCACCAGTTGCCTTCGAAAATATTCACATGGACGCCGCGGGAAGCCCGACAGCGTGAACGGCGAGCACCACCCCTGTACCCGAACCAAAGGCCTCGTCGAGTCATTCCGTCTCTGTTTTTGTTTTGTACACTCGCACCAACAGATGCAGCTCTCGAGGCGACGTAAAATAACGATGGTTATAATGATAGGAAGTATCGATTGACCAAGGGCTGCTCGCGTGCCGTGCTCGGTGCTGATCGAACCTCGTCGCTAATCTCCACGGCCGCTCGGCGGCCAGCTGTGGCGGCGCTCATTTGTGGCGTCCGCCCCGCGAGTGTATACAGCATGGCGACAGCCCTTCGGGCACGCGTGCACGGTGGTGGCACGCTTCGATCGCGACGATGATGGTCCTGCCTAACGGTGCGGTTGCGTCCGGACCCGACGGGCAGAGAGGTTAGCCAATCATCCTGATCGGGAGCCCGCATCAGCGCGTACGCTCGACCAGGACGACCGAGTCCCCCGCTCCAACGGAACCCTGCAGTCGTAAACTCTGCCATGAGCTGCTAGAGTCATCTGGCCTGTTTAAGCGTCCATTAGTCACGCTTGTCTTTCCCTCCTCTCCTCCTCTCTTCCATCTCTCTCGCTCTCTCGCTTTATCTATGTCGATATCTGTTTGTTTTTGTGCACGTGTGCGCGGGCCTTTATGTGTGTGTATCTGCTACGTATCTATTCCTTCCCCCTTCCCCCGCGATATAGTATTAATGCGCGAATAACATAAGCAGTCTTAGCGGTAGGCTGCCTGCGGTTGAATTCTGTCGGTTCTATGTTTTACGTGACCCTTTATACTGAGGCTTTTGTCTGTGTTCCTTTCTTTGTTACGCGCTTCAGTCGTGACGTTCGTTGGTTGTCTGCGTGGTGCCATTTGTTTTCGGCCTCAAAGTAGGGGACCGGCAATGCTCGGGAGGGAGAGGTAGGGGAGGGGGGTGCGGAAACTGCGACCGGTGTGCCATCTGTTGGCGGTAATGCGCTAGAGAGGTGCGGTAATGGGCTGCGAAGAACGGGGTTGGGGGCGTCGATTAGCGGTAAAAGGGTCGCGCCGAGTGATTTGGGCAGCGCGGGTGTTCGTTCGCAGATGAGGAGTGAACTCTCTCCTTCCTTTTTTCTCCTGGATCTTTGGACATACCCGAAAGCTTTAGCGATCTGATCTTTCATTTTGTTTGTTTTTGTGTGTGTGTGTGTGTGCGCGCGCGCGCGCGCGTCCGTGCGTGTCCGTGTGCGTGTGTGTGTGTGATTGTTTCCTTGTAAGTTTTAAAAGCCTTCTTCGCTACTTCTAAAGTTTCCGAGCGTACTAAGTCAGGTTTATGAGATTATTTTCCTAGTAGCTCTGATAAGAAAATATTATTTTGAATCCCCTAATCGTTCATGGGCGAGTAGTGAATTTTGAGTTCGAAGCGAGTAATGCTTTTGGCCGAATATTTTCGAATCGAATGTCGAATAGTTTTTCTCCAAGCCTTTCACTACTGCACCATGCTTATCGAAAACCCAGCTGAACTCGTGAAGGTTGTTTCCAAACTTCCACCTGTCCATTTTGAAACTGTTAATCTTAACCTGGCTATATTTATGGATATTGGCCTCGGGAAAGTCTGATGCCTACTTGGAATGGCATGTAAATGAACATTTGACAAATTTAAGCCCATAGAGATGCTCAGCAGTACCTAATCGGGGGTTTATTAATCTTGTTATATGCAAATATCCTTTCCTAAATCTCAAACCTGAGGGAAAAAAAGGAGAAATTCATGAAGGATGGACATAGGTTGTCAGGAAATCTCTGCCTAACATATACTCTTGCCTAATAGCCACAGTTTATAATTTATGAAGTTCTACTGTAGTGTAGATATCAACATTCACAAAGTTTGTTTATTCTTAAATACACTAGTCGCGTGCGGGCACCATCCCGCTTTAAAAGTGTGCTTTTCTCCTAAGCACGCGAATGCTATATTTGTACTTTTCGAAGTGTTTATCGCGGTGGGATAATTCCGTTGAGTGCGCTTCTTACCGAGCCCCGGTGCACTGCGGCGAAGCAGCACTCGCGAAAGCGAGCTCCACGTGTATCGCTTCTCCGCAGTGCGCCCGTGCTTGGTAAGAAGCGCGTCGAATGGGGCTAGCCCACTGCGATCAGCACTTCGAAAAATACGGATCACCGCAGTTCATATTGAAGCGAATATCGAATAACGTATTATTCGAAACTACTATTCGAAAACGCGAATATTCGCTCAACTCCACCCTAATCCATTTTCTCCAACTTTCGAATTGGAAATTGTATGCATATTCGAAAGGTGCGACTGTGCTTCTTTCGATATCTTCCCGCCTGCTAGCTGGACACGAACAAATACCAACATGCCGACGACAAAACCTGTCAAGGTGATTGACTGATCGGTGTCGGTTGCTATGGCGACCGCCGTTTTGAACCTTTCAAATATCCGACGCTTCGAAAGGGTCCTTCCAACCAGTCGCACGAAGATCGCTATGGAACATCATCGTACTAAAAACGTTCATCGGCCAATATAAGCGTCCTTGGCACTGTGCATGGAATAAACTTATCACTCATGCTTATCTCCCCAGATCCCTTACAATTACGTTGCTCTTCTTGCGTATTTCAAACAGTAAAATTAAATTTCATTGCCTCTAAGTACTGACGTTGCGTGTGATGGCGGTACGAATATGCACGCCATCCCATGCGGCGTCAGTGCTCCGAGGTATTGAAAAATAATTTTACTGTTTGAAATACACAAGAAGAGCAACATAATTGTAAGAGATAGGGGAATGAAAACGTTATTGTGCATCCTTCACGAAACCTGTATTTTGGTTGTAGTGGTATAGGAATATACCGTGCTCTGCCGTTCTCTAACTTGGTTGACGTAGTATAGGCGTGTTGGTTGCTTTTTTGTGTAAACGTTGAGGCACTTGTTTCTCGATCATTTCGTGTCTTAGAAGGTAAAAGTGATGCAAAGCTTGGGACAACTCACGACATAAGCTTGTTTTCTTGTTCTCACCCGCAGATTCGTTTGTGAACAGCCAAGAATGGACGCTGAGCCGGTCCGTGCCCGACATTCGACTGGTAAGTTTTGTTTTAAAGAAGCACGCTGGTTTTAGATTTGATTTTTTAATGAGGACGACACGATATAGCCTAGTATTGCTTTATCGAGAGTTTTATGGTGTCTGTGAGCTGCCGGAACAAAATGCTTATATTCATGATTAGTGCTGTACTACTAATGTAGCAGTATAGCTAGTTTACTCACGCATACGGCTATTAACGAAGGTATTATGAAGAAGATAATAACAACCCATATAAAAATTACTGTCTCCACGTAAGCTTTTTTATTATTATATAATTCACTGACGATTAGCTACTTTTTTTTTTTTTTTTTGCTTAAAGTACCGGACAGGACGGTGTTTTTCATGTTTGTATTCCTCGCATGAAACGGTTATCTAACTAAGCCTTATATTTCCTGGAGGGTTTACACCTGGCTTCACGCTTTTGAACAGACCTGCAGACCACCCAAAGCGGTGAAAGAAAGAAAAAGAGAGAGAGAGAGAAAAGGGGGAAGAACATAGTTGCGCTTCTAACGCTCGATGCAAAGGATAATTAAAACACAAAAATAAGTTACATCAGTGAAATAGGTTTTATATTTAAGTTATATCAGTAAGCTCTGTAATGTTGATGAAACGTCTCTGTTTTCCGGACTACGCCTCGATTAAGGAACTTTGACGTTTGCCATTTGTATGAGCGTACCTGGGAGCTTTGTCCTCCTTGCAAACGGTGTGCCGCCATGACCGTGCAATTCATCATAGAAACAAAGAAACAAAAATCCCATTCGCGACCCATCACCTCGCGGCATCGTTGTGGAATATCGTGGAGCGGAGCACACCGGAGAGCTTTTCGCTCGATATGCAACGAGGTCCGGGGGCTTCGAGCCCCCGCACCTCGAGCCCGTGCCACCCGCAGAGAGCGACATCGTCCGGCGTTGCGTGTCTGTGGACAGTCTGTACTTGAGCCACCTTCGTGCATGAAATCATCGTTGCTGCCAGTTGCCCGAAGCTTTGTCTGAAATCGCGGGAAACTCTCTTCCGTCCCTCAGAACTGTTCAACCAGTCTGGGACGAACCGATATCTTCCGAGCTTCCTGACAGCGCGAATCTGAAGCTACAGCGCCTCGTCTCCGCCATGCGTGTTTAGCGTCCCCATTCCGCCCCTGCATCCAAAATGCTCCCCAAGTGGCAGCAAATGACGTCACAAAAGCCGGACTGTCACACTGTTGGAAGTCGCGACACTGGCGGTTGGTGGTAGAAGTTTCGGCGAAAAGCACGGGCGGACGCGAGTGTCGCTGTTGTCGCCGCGTCCCAACTTCTGGCTGGCGCGTGGCTTCCGTGAACTGACAAGCTGGAGAGCGCAACAGCGGAACAGGCATCTGCCGCGTCCACCACCGCTGTTGTGACGCCGCCAGGACTGCGGTCGGTGACGTCGTGACACTTCTATGACGCCACCAGGTGGAAATCGAGGAACCCCCCTTTTTTCTTGGACGCGGTAAACGCGCCAGTCGGGGACGCGTTCCAGGCGTCATAGGCTCCAAAAGTTGTGTTTTAAAATACTGAGCACCAAGATGGCGGCACCCCCGAGGCAGGCGGGGAACGGAGGGCCGGTACCCGTACCTTGTGTAGTGGCACGAGGGTGTCCTTGTGCGTCGCTTTGGTTTCGCGAGAGCGTGTCATCGATGTGTCCCCTAGGGTAATCCAATAATATATCAAAAAAAAAAAAGAAAAACTGGGCTGGTCTTGAACATTGATTGCCTCCATTTGTTCAATATACACATGTGCCGTAAAGTATATAACTTAAAAAAGTAATTGGTGCATTTTTATTAATTAGTCATCTTATAGTTGTATTCTTTCTTCAACATAATGTCTGCCTGACCGTGTAACTCGCTTGCACAGACCGCGGTTGTATAACTTCACGTGAAACAACAACAAATATTTTGTATGTCTGCCTTACGCATTTCGTTCTTTTCTATTCTTTTGTGCAGTATGCTGGACGGTAAAGGGGACCGGTGATACTGTGCCGAGAATTGTCTTTATTCTGGTTTTTATGAACTGGCCGGGCTTGTTCAAAGGCGAAACTTTGTATACAGTCTTTTCTCGTTATTATACGGTCCCCGTTATTATGGATACCCCGCTGCATATTTTCGGGGACGAACTGGGTAAAGACGGGCATTTTTGTTCCGTTATTATGGACAACTCACATCATTGATGCTTTCGCTTTTTTTTTTTTTTTTTGGGGGGGGGGGTTGTTCGGGGTTCGTTTCACATTAACGACACACCGCAGTACGCATTATGCGCATTTGGGTCCGCCAAATTCAACATTCAAATGGTAGTAATTCATAAAAAGTGTATACCTCTTTTTTCTTTTTTTTTTTGGGGGGGGGGGGGGAGGGGGGGGACGCTGACGTGTCACCGACTCACGCGTTTCGGGTCGACCGGGAGAATAAGCGGGGATTTAATTTAAGCGACTCCCGAAGCCAGCCACCGCTTCTTCCTGCCAGTTATTTTGAGGAAATGTTGGTTTACTGGTTTACAAAATTAAAAAAAAAAAGGAATAATTTGGAATTAAAAGTTCGAAGACACCTAAGCACTTCTTGTGAGTTGTGAATGCGAAAGCATGCCGCCTGCGACGTATTGCTTGCGCCTCGCATTGTCGAAGGGCCTCGTCCTCTAGCCGCCTGAGACGCTTTGAATCGCGATCTGCTTGCGCCTCCCGACGGCCGAGTGCGCGCTCTCTGCATGAGGTGTCCGCGCCGCGCTGAGCTCGGCCGTGCTGCATCTCCGGAGTTTGCCCGTGCGGGCTGTGCTGCCTCTGCGGCCAGCCGCTTTGTCTTACCGGCAGCCGGGGGCCGCTGCGCCGTCATGGAGAGGACTTCTCTGGTGGCGTTCCTTGGAAATACGCCGCGCGAGAGACAATGAGAGCCTCGTTTCTTGAAGCCATGACGCGCGCCAGCCAGTGGGAGCCTATCCATCAGACTTCTGCTACATACGACAGGCTTCGCTCCATTGGGAAAGGGGAAGTTGCCGTTTGGCGCGGCTTCAGAAGCCGATGACGTCGGTTCGCTCCACAGGACAGTTAATTCTTTCGCATTAATAAGAGTCCAGCACTCACAGAACACATTGGAACCAACAGGATACACGAAATCGCTTTCACTGAAGCGTTTACTACACACACGAGAGGTTCCCAAACTCCGCTTTCGTATTTTCAGTTTCATGATATATTCCTTCCTCGGTTTTATATTGTCCGAGTTATAATAATAATAAAAAATTCACCTCATTCGCCGTGGTAGATGTTGTAGTGGAATAAAGCGCTGTACTGGGGTAGAGAACAGCACACCACCACCTCAGCGCTTCGTCACCTCGGCGCTAAAAGTTTGTTATCTCGACTACGCGTGTCACGGTTTCAAGCCTCGGTAAAATATACTAATACAAATATCACTTCACCAAATAAACGTAATGCGTGAAACAGGCTTTGCCGAGCGTTACCCAAACAGCGCATGAAGCGAGCTAACGAGCCGTGGTATCCAGGATCTGCGCCTTCTGTCCTACCCGTGACGTCACAAACGATGATGATGATAGGTAGAGAAGCGCCCCCTGTAGCTCGCGCACGCCGCCGATAGAACGCATAGACAACGCGCGATGACGAGTCAGCCACGCTCGCGAGATCATTGGTTGAGGCAGGGGGGAAACAGACGCACGGTGGGCGTGTTGGGGGAGGCGGGAGGGTGAACAAATGCTCATTGAAGTGGGGGAATCTAATTCGTGATTCACACGACGTGTCGCCAGTCCTGATCACAGCTAACCATATCGCATGTCAGAGAGTTAGTCCTGCCTGCGGTCTGTATTTTTTGTTTGTTTGTTTGTTTGTTCGTTGCGTAGAACCACGCGAATTATGTCCACCTTTCGCCTTGCTTACACACCCCCAGGAGAAAAAACCAATCCAGTCCCGAAGCCTCGTAACCAAAGAAGAGGGATTGAAATAAGTGTGCTGCTAGTAAATTACTTGCCAACGATTGAACTGAAATAAATTATAAAGGCGGACGGGACCGGGCATGCAGGCAAGCACTTTTTCAGCGTTTACTCCGTCGCTCGCACTGCTGGTGGGTAGGCTCCACTTGCACCGAAATGTTTGCTGTGCGTCGGTGATGAAGTGAGTTTCAGCATTGCGTATGCGAGCGAAGGCAAGCACGTGCGTTTGCGTGGCGTGCTCCACACTGCGCGTGCGCGGAGCATAAACTGCGGTCTTGGATTGGCGTGTGGCGACGATGCTTTCTCGTGACCGGCGGGCGCTCCCTTTCCCCAGGGCATTGTGGGCAGCCTGTCGAGTGGCAAGTCCGCCCTGGTGCACCGCTACCTCACGGGTTCCTACATGCAGGACGAGTCGCCCGAAGGTGAGTGCCGAGAGGGCCTTAACAATACGCTACCTAAAAAGCGCCTCCGGCTGCTTTTTAATTTTTTTTTTAAAGAAGTTTACTAGGTCGTGCTTGATAGAAAAGTTGCAAGGTCACTCACTACGGTGAAGCCTGTCCTTGCTAAATGTTTTGGTCAGACTTTCAACAAGAGGGACCTTACCCTTCTCAAAGACCACGGCCACCATAAACATTGTTGAAAACTGGTTTTCCTCGCACGCTCTGGGGGAAATGTTTTGTGCTACATTGTCGAGGATAGCTTTAGCTTTCGCAGTGCTTCAACTCTATCGAGGCTAGTTGCAAGCGCGAGTGCGCACGAATGAGAGGAGGCGAGACGAATTCACGTGCTTTCGCAGCGGGGATTGCAGCACTCGAAGCTACACTAGCCTGGGCACCCTACAATGTGGTGCAAAAATATCCGTTACCGAGTACACACCTTTCCAGCGCTTGCGTCCCAGGGAAACAATGCCTAGTCACCGGGCCGCGTACGCATGCGCTGCGTATGATATTCCGCGGAAGAGAGCTACTGTGCAGGCTTATTAGAACGTGTTCCACAGCCCAATAGACAAAGATGGCGGCGCGCGGAAGTTTACAATTGGAATGGTCCTCTTTCACGTTGTCTGGATAGGCCCGATCTTTCGTAGTTTGTTCTCTGTGTTTAGGAAGGCCCTCGCGTCGTGGTTGTCCCTCAGCAAAGCCCTAACCGAGACCCGGCTTGTGTGTCGCAGGAGGCCGCTTCAAGAAGGAGATCGTGATCGACGGCCAGAGCTACCTGCTCCTCATCCGGGACGAAGGCGGCCCCCCGGAGTTGCAGGTCGGTCTCCTCCGGTCACGCTGTGTCGTGGGCCGGGTCGCCAGCACCGGCTCGTTGTTGTCGGGTTGACCCGTCGCCGGCGCCAATGTGCGGGGCCGGGCGTGAGCGTCCGGCGCACGACCGTAGCCCTCCGCGAGGTTGGGCCACGGCACGGCTGCTGGAACGCTCCGCGAGCACGGCCTGACGTGTCTCGCTCGCTGCTTGTGTCTTTTCGACCGTGACGCGCCTCCGAGATGCGGACGCTGAGCCACCCCGGTGAACCCAGCGCCGAGAATGGGTCACGTGATTGCGCACCTCCCGAAGGGCGCGCGACACTCGCGCGGCAGGGGATTTTTTTTTTCTTTTTCAGTATACCCTTATAGAAAGAAGGGCGTACAAATTCACGTTGAAAAAAAATTAACGCAATAGGAATACAAATAAAGTAACTAATTTTGTTAGGAAATAACTTGTCCGGCGTGTTACCAAAGATGATTTGTTCACGCCCCTTTAAATAATTGAATTGATTAACGGGCTGTAGTTGAGCTTGAGTCCCTTTTTCTCCCTCTGTCTTGTTGAGTCCAGTGTTGTACGCAGGAACGCGTTCCTTTTAGGAGGAACATAGGAACGTCGCCGTTCCATTTAACATCGATGGAACTGGAACGGGAACGCGTTACATTTTTTACTGGAACGGAAAAAAAACTGCTTTCCTTTTTTTTTTTTTTTGATCAGGGGTATAATTTTTGTTTTATTTCTAAGAGGGAAATTCTAAAAGCATAAAAGCAATGTATTTACGAAGAGCAGGATCTCGTTAACGTTTTGGTCTCTTTGGGTTTATTTTGTGTGATTTTCCCTTGGTAACACTCGGGTGCAGGAGAGCTAGTGGACATGGAACGTGTACAACACTGGTTGAGTCCCCTTTTCTTTCTATATTCTATTTTCCCCAAGTTTAGCTGGCCCTTTTTGTAGTGTTGAATTGATGGCGTGTTTACCAGAGGTGCTCGAAGGCGATTGTATGCTGACGTTTGACAATGAGCAATGCCGTCTCTAAAATTATGTTCAACTCGTGTAGAAATTTGAGAGCTAGGGCTAAGGAATGACTTACTTTCTAATGAAGCGTTAGAATGATACATTTTGTAGAAAAGGCGTAAACGAAATATTTTACGATGAAAGGAATCTAGAAGGAGGGTTAAAGTGGTTTTCATGGACGAGTCACCATCGGTGCGATGATACAATGATATCTAACGTGCGCCGCAGCGTCATGTGCGATCCATCATAAAGTGAAACGGAGTTGCACGGTGCATCGCTGGGGAGTTTTCGCAGGGCTTTAGCAGATCGTTCTGATACCCCCGATACGATGCATGCACAAAGGCGGCGGCAGAGTATCGGAGTCATCGGAGCGATCCGCTCGAACTCTCTGGTTTCTGGCGTCTCGCTACGCTCACCGGAACCTGTTGGGAGAACGGTCGGCAACCCTTCGTTGGGAAGCAGTTGAGGCTCATAACCTCTGGGATGGTGCACATTGTAGTGTGCACCGTCCCGGAGGTAAGGGGCCGAGGAGTAAGTATACAGAGAGGGCAGTCCAGGAGGTTAACAGGACCACCGAGAAACTGCAGCTCTAAGAACGGATATGGGGTCATGAATTATGTTATGAGATTCCCATCTCCCCGTTCAGCCGGAACGGCATCCACTATGGGGAACTGACGGGGATGCGGGTGGGTCGAAGGATGGGGCGGTATAGCAAATGAGCCCGCAGAGCCCTCCGGTAGCTGGCTCAAATGAAGACAAGAAGGTTGGGAGGAAGCCTCGCAGAAGGAGAAACAAGCAGCTCAATATAGGATTCATAAACATGCGGGGGGCAGACATAGAATGAAGTTGGAAGAGATTGCGGAACAATTAAATGATGAAGACTTTGTACTGTATGGAGTGGCAGAGACGCATCTTAGAGATATGGAGAACCACACTACTTGGCAGGTTATTTTTGGGTGGGATGCAATCGATGTGAAGGGGAACGTAAAGAAGGCGGATTGGAAGTGCTGAAAGGACAGGGCTGGAAAAGGGCGAGGGAAAGCTTTAGAAGTCACAATATCGGAGGTTTAGACACGCTCATAGGATTTGTAAATCAGAAAGAAAAAAAAAACAAAAAAAAAACAGGAATTGATTTAAGAGAGGGAAATGTACAGCACTTTACGCGTATTTCCGAAGATGTCGGAGAAATCGACACTGATCTGGTAAACGTTATCTTAGGAGACATGAATGCACACTTAGAAGACTTTGTCGGATAGGCCACTTGAAAGCGACGAGAGCAAGGGACCGAGGCGATGAGCGCTAAGTTTTCTAGAAATCCAAAAACCGAGGAAGCGACGAGGGACAGTGAAGGGTGAACAGCATGTAAGCGATTTAGCGAGCGACGAGACGGGCAACGGCGACAGCGACGGAGATTTCTCAGTGTCGCTCGTCGCGTCGCTTGGTTTTTGGATTTCTAGAAGTCGTCGCTCATCGCCTTGGTCGCTTACTCCCGTCGCTTTCATGTTTTTTGCCTCGAAGCGCGAGTGACTGAGCGACAGCGAAGCGGGTCGTCATCGCTCGTCTCGTCTCGTCGCTCGCTAAATTGCTTACATGCGGTTCAGCCTTTACACACGGTACTCGGCGGCAACAAGCAAATTAAAACGGCCCGCCCCCGAGATAAGCATTTTTATCTCTTCTGTTCAACGAAGCTTCTTCAACGACATGAAATTAGCGCACACCGCCAACGGACGACCGCTTACCCAAGCCAAGCCAGTCAAACCTCGACCTCGAAGATGTCGGATCGACGGTGGCGCTTCTTGGCGAAATCGAACCTGCAGGCTCAATGAATACCACCTGTAGTAAACACGTTTAAAAGAAAGTTAGAGAAGTTCAAAATCAGACAAAGAGAAAGAAGGAAACACCAAAAAACTGGTGGGACAGTGAAGTTATGGCGCGACAAGAGGCCTCAAGGGAACACAGATGGGCCAAGAAAATGGGGGACACACCCGCTGAGATAGCATCGAAATGGAATACATTTCAGGAAAGAAAAAGAGAGACATCTGCTCTAATCCAGGCCGATATTGGTAGAGCTGGAGTAGAGTGGATGATAGAAGTAAATCAAAATGACAGGAATGCAGCAAAAAGGTTCTGGGCAGAGGGAAGAAAAACAGAAGAGTTCCATTGACTGCACAAGAGGGGATAAGTGTAGAGGGCCAGTAGGTAAGGGGACTTGTTAGACGAACAATCGAGGCAACATTCGTATAACTTGAACCGAACGAGATTGGACAGAACACAAACAGCAACACGGCACAAGACAAACACACTAACAAGACAACTGAGACGACCACGGGGGAATGTGAGCAGAAAATAAAGTACCTGCTGGAACGTCGACAGGCCCAGATGGCATAGGAATGAGACTAGTCAAGACACTAGGAACAAAAAGCGAATTGAAGTTGAAACAGGCAACTGGCCAAATAATAATGGGGACAGAGGTACCCAATGATTGGAGACTAAGCAGAATAAAATTACTATATAAAGGCAAGGGAAACAAGGATAGCATAACTTCATTCCGCCCAATAACAGTAACTTCGGTCCTGTACAGACTAGCGATGCAGGTAGTAAAAAGAAGGGAACTATGGGCCGAAAACATTTTAGGTGAGCTACAGAACGGGTTCCGGAGAGAGAGAGAAAGTTAGATGATAACTTGTTCATCATCACTCAATGTAGAGAGGTGACACGGATGAATAAAAAACCGTTATAGATAGCATTTCTAGACATTAAAGCGGCGTTCGACAATCCGAGTCAGGAAAAGCTCTTGGTACAGCTGAGAGAGTATGGTTTAGATCCACATTTGATTAGGCTTTTACGATAGGTTTCTGTGACACGGGAAGCAGAAATGACAGGGCCAACAGAAATAAAAAGAGGGCTCAGGGAGGGTTGTCGCCTATCCCCCCTAATTTTTATGATATACCTGAGTAGAATGGAAAAAAACAATTAGAAGAGTGCAATTTAGGTTTTAATGTGTCATAAATGGAGAGGGGGGAAAAGTAAACTAAGTGATACCAGGAATGTTCTACGCAGACGACATTGTAGTGTTAGCAGATAGCCGAGTTAGGTTACAGGAGCTGATTAAGATCTGTGGAGAGGGAGGAGATTCTCTGGGCCTGAAATTCAGTAGCGACAAGTTGGGAATAATGGTTTACAACGATGAGGAGGGAAACCCGCTGAACATTCAAGATGTTTTAATAGAACACGTATAGAGAAGTATAAATGCATAGGAGTATGGCTGAATGAGGGAAAACAATACTAAACTGAAGAGGAAGAAAATATGCTAAAAAAAAAAAAAGGAATGCAGCAATTATGAGGCGTATGTCACTATGGAATTAAAATAGATATGAAGTTGTTAGGGGAATTTGGAGACGAGTAATGGTGCCAAGTTTGTCTTTTGGCAATGCGGTGTTTTGCATCATATCTGAGGTCCGGTAGGGCTTAGAGACCCGACAGAGGAGCGTGGGCAGACTGGCACCGGGGGCGCGTCTATACATGGGCTGAGCATCTTTCGAGGCTAGAGAGGCGATCAGTGAGTTGAAATTCGAACAAAGACTGCACACACTTGAGGTATACGCGATGGGCGAGAAAGCTATATAAGCATCTATACATGGATGGTTTGAATTTTTAATAGACAAAACGAACCCGAAAACTAAAATTTAAATACAAACAGTCAAGTGCGGGGGCAGAAAAAACTACCTCTGGGAAAAGGAAAGTAAAAGAAGCCGAGAGAAAGATGTGGGAGGAAAGAATGCAGGGAAGATCACCCACTATGTATAGGGGAGAAAACAGGAAATAAGGAAGGAACATTAGTATGATAATTCATGGTGGAGCTCGTTGTTATTCGAGCTAGAACTTGAGCATTGAGGACTAGGACATGTAGAAAAAAGCATGAGGAAATAGATACGCGGTGTTGCTTTATGGGAAGACGAGGCAATAAATAGAACATGTGTTGTGGTGCACAAGGC